ACTAGACTTGGAAGCTCTATCCAGGGCATTGCAGCTGTGCTTTGAGAAGAAATGTTTAAAAGATTACAGCAGGCTTCAATTAAAATCCTGTCAACAGAAGCCCATGGAAACACTCCAGGAACTTGTCACTGATGTTGAAAGGCTGTCGCATCACGCCTTTTTGGAGTGCCCGACAGAAACAAGGAAAATTATGTCCCTGTAATACTTCATCGATGGCAACTGGGTTCCTGAAATACAGAAGGTTCTACAAATGGCAGATATCAAGTATTTAAAAAAAAGCTCTAGTGAAAAATGTAGTGAAATTCATGCCATTTTTCACTAGAGCTCTAGGGCTCTAGTCATGAAATTCGAGGCAGCCCAGCAAGCAACTCAAAGAGACTGCCACCCAGTTAGAGCTGTGCAAGTTCACAAGCCAGTGAATCAAGAGATGGCTCATTTAGATTATTTATCCATACAAGTGAAGTGCTTTGATACAGGGTAGGAATGAGAACATGTGGTACTGAAGGTCACATGTGACGGCATTGCAGAACACCTCAGAGCATGGAAAATAAAACAGATGATTTGACAAGACAAGTCAGTGCCTTCAGAAGGAATAATAGTGAAAAGAAACCAATCCTAAACTGTGGTGTCGAAGACTACATACAAAGGAATTGCAGAACACACCAGGACACGGAAAATAAGACCATTTCCCCAAAACAACGAAGGAAACAAATTAATGGCCATATCACATAAAGGAATTTGAAGGATAATGAGAAGCCCCATTTCAAAGAGCTTCAGATTTCAGTGAATGGAGGCAATAATGCACTCTTCATCATGTGACATATTAATGGAGTTCCTTGAAATATGGTGATTGATACAGGAGTGAATGTTACTATCATTCGGAAAGATTTAGCTCAACAGTTTAAAGATACCCTCCAGACTGCATCTGGTGATAAAATCGACATAGATGGAAAGTTAAACGTAAATATCATGCTTGGAAATGCTGCCTACTATCCCACTGCATATGTGGCAGGTATTACAGAGCCTTTTATACTTAGATTGGACTTTCTAAGAGAATACAATTTTTCTTTAGACTTTAAAAATAATGAAATGCATTTGCATTTAAAAATAATGAAATGCATTGCATGAAATGCAACACATAACTATCCATCATCAAAAGGGATCCTCACCTGGAAACACTGACACCTTGTCTGGATGACCCTGCTCAAAAAGCTGGCGACTCATACTAGGGTCAAAGAAAAACATGAGCTGTTGAGTCCAGCCATACAACATCAACATCAGCTGATGGAGACCCATGGAGTGACAAAGAAGTCAGGGAAGACCAGCTGGGAGACGGCGACATTAAACCCATAATTGACTGAATGGAATCCTCAAACAGAAAACCTACCTGGCAGGATATTTCGATCTATAGTCTCTAACAACAAAACATTACTGGGCTCTCTGCGATTCACTTCACATTCGAAATGGCATCTTATATTGAAAATTCGAATCGGATGATGGGAAGACTTTCCAATGTAGCTGATACTTCCAAGATCCCTGATCCCAGACATCCTTAAAGAACTACATAGCAGTCCTACAGGAGGCCCCTTCGGGATAACGAAGACCTTGTAGAGAGTTCGTAAGCACTTCTACTGGAGTAATGCAAAGAATGACATGCAAAAGTAGTGCCAATCTTGTGATGATTGTGCAGGTCGGAAAGGACCGAAGAAACGCAGCCGAGGCAAGCTGCAAAGTTACAATGGAGAAGCACCTTTTGAACGTATTGCCTTTGACACTTGGGACCTCTGCCACAACCAGCTGATGGCAAAAAATACATCCTCGCTGTCATAGATTACTTCACCAAGTGGCCTGAAGAATATCCTATTCCTGATCAAGAGGCTGTCACAGTAGCAGAGGTATACAGCAGTGGATTTCCAGATTTGGAGTACCTCTTCAGTTACATTCCGATCAGGGAAGGAATTTTACCTTGGCTGTAAACAAAGAACTCTGTAAGATACTTGCCATTGACAAAACCCAAACGGCACCTTTACATCCCCAATCAGATGGCATGGTAGACAGGTTTAATCGAACCATACTTAATAACATCTCATTGGTGTTTCCTGAAACCAGCAGGACTGGAACAAGAAGTTACCACTGTTTCTACTGGCTAACCACAGTGCTGTTCGCAAAACTACCTGCTACTCCCCATTTCAGATGTTCTTCGGCTAAACTTTGTCTGCCTAGTGATCTTTTGTTTGGTTGCCCTCTGGATGCACCTTGTTTGCCTAACGAATGCATCCATGATCTCCAGGCCCAGTTTGAAAAGATGCACAATTTTGCACAAAAGTGAGTCAACTTGGCAATGGAGAAGACAAAGACCTAATATTGCACAAGAGCTACTGGACATTGATTCAAAGAAGAACACAAGGTGTGGTTGTGGAATTCGACTTGGAAAGAATGCTGTCTAAAACTAATCACCTTGAGATGGTCCGTACACAGTCCTAAACAGGCTGAACGACATTGTATTTGGGATTCATAAGTCACAGAATTCTAAGCCCAAAATTGTTCATTATGACAGGCTAGCTCCTTACTATGGCCATAGCACCTACTGTATATAATGTAAATAGTATAAGACCATGTTTTTTTTTATTTCTAAATTTGTGCACTCATTTATTGATTTGTATTTGATTTATTATAAGCTATTTATTGCCATTATTGTTTTTGTTGTTTGTTAATGTATTGTAATGTTTATTATTGCATTGATGCTTTAGGTGTATATATGGCTTCCTACCTAAGAACTGTACTGCCCAAGACATGCAGTCCTTGGGAAGGGGGCAGTGTTATGAATTTTGTATTTAATTAGCTATTTTTTATTAGAATTATAATTAAATTCATAAATTACACCCATTAGTCTATTTTCTTTCTTTCTTTCTTTTTTTTTTTTAAGGCAAATAAATCAATCATGTTTTCATTGAATTCCAATATGTCATTTATCATGCTTTTTTCAGTTCATAGCATGACTAGAGTTTAGAGCACTTTGTCTGTCCTCACTCATAGTGCTTCTTAAACATGTCTTAACTCATGTTAGATTTGAAAAAACATTTCTCAACTTCAGCAGCAGTCATTGGAATAATAACAATAATTAAGAACAGTTTGTAGGTCTTCAAAAACTTAGTATGTAAGTTTCTTTTTGTAATAAATTGTAGAAAACTAATAGCACCAGTCCTATTTCTGAAATCTGATTTTCTGTAAATTACTCATAGTTCAGTTTTCAAACGATCCTTCTGTAATATAGAATAAACATCAGCTGTTTGGTTAAGAATCTGAGCTGGAAATGTTTTCTTGTGCTCCTAGAATTTTAAAGCTTTGAGGAAAGAAACAGCAGAATAGTGAGAAATAAAACAAAATCTCTATTTTACTTAATTCGTGATAACATCATATATTGCTACTGTATCGATGTTACTACAAGCCCCTAATGTGTCAGTATTTTCTCTTTTCCTTTTTCTTGAAGTTTCATATGATTCCCATATCTCCTCTGTTTTCTCTAATGACTGCTGGAAGATGTTTACTTACTTTTATAATGAGTGTTGCATCACACGGCGTTTGTTTCACATGCGTTTGTTCCCATATCACACAGCGTTTGTTTCACATGAACAACTGTTTCGGACAACTTTTCTGCTTGGTTTACTATTGAAAAAAGATGTGCGACTTTTTCCTTCCTTTAAAAAAAAATTACAAGTTGTTCATTTTCACCCAATCAGCTATTAACTTGTTTGTAATGGGGAACCAGGTTTCCCTGTGTTAACCCCAAAGTGGTCTATGGTGATCTGTTGTGACAAAGCAGAAAAATTGTTCCAAACAGCTGTTCTTTCGAAACAAAGTGGCGTGTGATAGCAGCCTTAGGGTTTTCTGAAACTGGTTATATAACACATCGACATGTGGCATAATACTGCGAACTGTAAGCCAAAACACGAATTCCGAGTCTTCTATCTAGCCTACAGTGAATAGTCCCAGCTTGATTTATTGCTACAGCTTGTTTAGATTATGCCTTAAATGTGATACTGCTGGTGACTGCATTCATTTTATTGAAAGTTGTACACTCACCGGAGGGTGGGGGGGGGTAAGAGCCTTACATGGAATCGGAAATGTAAGAGAAATGATTCAAAATTATAAAAAAGGAGTAAAATTTACACAAGACATTATGAAAGTCATCAATTCTCATAAACATGTCATTGGTATCTCTGACTGATCGAGCTAACATACTGAAAGCGTTCAATTTATGGAAACTACCCTTAAGAGGAGAGAAAGACTATATGCAAAGGTGCAGGGACAGCTTAAATGTTTTTTGTGGGTTTTTATGTGCCGTGTTATTCTTTTTAGTATACTAACCTAATTTTCTTTTCTTTTTGTTAAGCTGCTAAATTGATTTTTTTTTTTTTTTGACACGGCCGGCTCGGTGGCTCGTGTCATTTGTCGTTGGAAGGGTTGCGCCCGCTTTTCTTCATAAGGTTCAACAAACCAGGCGAAAGGGCTGTGCCCGTATAAAACGAAACAAAACAGCTTTTAGACATTGATTCATTTTTTTCCTATGCATTCTATCAACTGTTTCCTAACACTGTATTGATAGTTCAGCTCTTAATATCCAATCTAACAGCTGAACCATGAAGTACTCTTTTTCTAACAATTTCATCTAAATAGCAATAACAATTATCTTTAAAAAGTTATTGATAAAGTTAGTAATATCACTCAGGCCGGAAAAAAATACTCGAACTTGCTAATCTTGACTGGCTGCTTGCTCAATAATCAAACTGAGCTGATGTGGGTAGCAATGCACAAATTATGCATTTTCTTGTAGGTGTACTGAATAAAAGCTTGAACATCAGCATGATGACGACTCATCATGTTGATGTAAATGTAATATAATATATTAGTAAACAAGATTTTGACTTAAAATCACACCAGAAAATGTAGATCTTCATAAAAAATCATTTAGTTATTATACCAATTAAATTAAAGCTTACCCAGTATGAGAAACACATATTACATGATTGCACACAGAAAGGGTCATCTGAAGAAGTTTATTTGTAATAATTGCACTGGCATCAGCAAACCCAAATAATGAGTGATCTGTAAAAACTGTTTTAAGGCCCATCGTCTTTGCATGGAACATGGCCTCGTGAGCCAATGCTGAAAATGCCTAGAAACAAATCTTCAGTGACTGATTATTATTATCAAAATTCTAAGATATACTGCAAAATTAAAAGTTGAAATAACAAAAACATTATTAAAACCTATACTTAAAAGTAAATTAAAATTACATGTTAAAAAAAATATATATATATATATATTAGACAATTTTAAGCTTCAGCTCATACACCAAATAAAAGACTCCCAAAGTGTGGATTAACAGATAATTTTTGATGGGCTCAAAAAGTTTTGATGTAACCTTTTCCTTACAGCTTAAGCTGCTGTCACATATGATATTTGTTGCCAAAACATAACATTAGACAGAACAATTCTGGGAAGTGAGCTTCCGCGAAATCAGGTTACCATCTTCACTTGGTAAACAGGCTGAAAGCCAAACAAGAACCAGTTATCGCTCATATAGGCGAGAGTGACATTTCCTTTCAAGTGACGATTGCTTTTCTGTGTTGTATTTTGTGACGCTCACACGCTTTTTGTTTTAAACTTTATTGTTAGTTATTGGCTATTAAGTAAATCCCTTTTATCTTGACTCTGGCAATTCTAGGAGCTAAAGAGAAAAAATGTGCAAAGAGAAGTCCTATTCTTTGTAGTGATCTGTTCTATATATTTGATTTTATTACTGACTGTAAATAGTTATTTTTGTATCCATATATTTGTTTAATAATTTTTATGTACATGATATAATGCCATTTACTGATATTTGTTTTGTGATGAGTCAAAAATTTTTATTTCATTTCCAAAATGTTAAATATTTCATAAAGGCTACTTGGTCAATTTTTTTTTTTAATACATTCCCAAGTATAGTTACAAATGCAAAGATTTTGTGTAAGTGGGTGAATTTTAATGACTAGCCTAATGCACAAAATACACTTAAATTATTTTTCAATTGCGTATTCCATATCTATGATAATGTGCAAAGAACTGATGACTACAATTGCTGACAATTACATAATCATTATATGAATTAGAAGTAACTTCAAATAAACTTTTTGGCAATGTTCATTTTTGTATTCAAACATATATATATGTAAGATAACAATGTATGAATCAGAATTATAATATAACTATAAACATTAATTCTTCCTCTCTATTCTAAAATCGTAATAACTTATCTGCATTGCGTCATTCAAATTAATCATGCGATCTTACGTAACCGTTAATACCAGATGCCTCTTGACGACCAATCACCGAATTGTAAACCAAAACTTTTCTCTTCGCCTGCTTCCATCTTTCATAACGACGCACTTCAGCTTTTGCTCTCTACTGTGTTAAGATGTAATTTCGCTGGCTTGCTTTCTATCTTAACAATATCAAAAATGTAAATATTCCATGATTAGGCATGACTAGAGTGTTAAGTGATTGTGGCCACAAAAGTCAGTTGCAAATAAAAATGGAATTAAAAATCGCTTCGACTGCCAAGTTCTTTAAATACTACGCAATCAAAATCTTCTTCAATATGGATGTAATCACGCATCTACACTGCTCGTCTTTTTCCTTTGTTTATTATTATATATATATATATATATATATATATATATATATAATATATGCACACATCTAATATTTACCTACACATAGCGAGAGAGATGCGAAGGTTTAGAAATTGTTGATGTATGTTTATTAGTATTAATGTAATGAATAAGCTTTTTATTAATGAATGTATATACAAATGTTTTTCATCATTCATAATAATAAATTTAAATTTCCAATGCTTCAGTATGTAGCATTTATAATAAAAATATAGTTCATAATGTGTTTGTAATCTAAAAAGCATTTCATTAATAACATCAAGATAATAGCATACAAATTTAATGTGTATCCTCATTATTAAATAATATATGTTTTAATAAATATACATAATCACTGATTATGCAATTTCAATTTAAAAGTAATTAGCAGAAAAGTAAAGTCGTGCATATACAAACATATTTAAAAAAATTATTCTCTTTAATAAAAAAAAAATCTATTATATAACAATAACATTTTTTTAACATGATCAGTCCAAAATGCGACAAATTTAACGAACTTTTTGGCGATGAATAATTTGTAAACAAATCATTAGAAATAGCATGTCATCACCGAGCACATCATAAAATATTATCTACTCTGAAATTCCCACGATTATAAATTTAATGAATATATAAATATTTAAAAATGACTTAAACAGTTATACTACAACAAAACAACAATATGTATACGGCTTTTTTTGTATTTCTTCAATTAAATCGGCCTCTATTTCAACCGCCCATGATTTCACAAGAGCCATCGCCATATTGAAAATTACCTGTAATCCTTCAGAAGCAGAACTTTCGTCTCATTGGTTGAACGTACGCAGAACACATTTCCAGGCGGAACATTTTTGGAAAAGTTTGAAAATGTTTCGCCTAGCTAGACGAAACATTTCTTGGAAGCCTCCCACATAAAGCAGTGCTACTAGAATCTCGTTTCTAAGAAATGTTTCGCCTAGCCGAGCTTAGTTACATAAATCTACCTATAGTTTTGAACTACTTCTTTTCTATGCACCTTCATTGTGACACTGCTAGAAGCACATCTGATGCATAATTGGGAGGTACAGAGTTCGAATTCTGGCAATGGCACTGCAGATTTCTTCAGTCTCCTGCAGCGATAAATCTAATGGCTCTACATATGTATGCTTAAGTTTTTTTATAAATATAAGCTTCATTTTGAATTATCAAATAAATTCAAAATGCATTTAAAAGAAAATTTAATTTGTTCAGTGAGTGGTTGTTTTTCAAAATTTACAATGTCAGTAGATTGGACTACAGATATATCTGACAGTCAGCTGAAGAAAACTTTAGCTGCTCATATACACGAATATCAATGCTAAAAAAAATGAATGGAATAATTCAAAAAAGATATGACATGCTCGGTCATTACTGTTCAAAGTGAAAATGAACCAATAAGGATTAAAGCAGCAATGGATGAACAATAATCTGAATCAAGGCATTAGAATCAAAGGTCTTTCTTGTTACCCTGCACTTACATGTTCAAATATTAACTATTAATGAATAAATTTCATGGAAAGTGAGCATTTCATTCATTCCACATCAACTACAAAGATGTGTGAATGGATGGAAAATCAATTTAATTGAATATTCTGAACATCATTCACTTCAACGAATGTTTACAATTACTGGAGAAGATTAACTAGATCTCGCTACATGTGCAACCTAAAAGAAATAACTAAGTATTCATCAATAGCAAGATAAGCAGTCCCCAAATTTGTAAATGAAAATATCCATGCCCCAAGCAAAATGTTGATTATTGCCATTAATTATCACAAAAATGCTTTAAGTTGTAATTGATAAGAATCATCAAAAATGGACCACTGTAATGCTTTTCCTCTAAAGGCTAACTTGCTGATCCAGTTGTGGCTGGTAAAAATTTTAAATGATCCAGGCTCTTATATGATAATGTAAGATATTGAATTTATCAAACAGTTAAAGATTATTTGATCAAATGAAAGCTTTTATTATAATCTATATCTACTTATGGTCCCCATCTTTCATCTTTAGATTTTGAATATTTTATTGAACTGAAGATTAAACCTGGTAGTATACATCTATACTGGTAGTATACATAAATATTAAAAAATAAAGAATCTGTAAGTATGAGAGTTCGCTGCACTGTGGAAACATGATGGCACTTACAGCCATCAAATGTTGAACATATCTTTGCGCATAACATGTACACTTTGAATTAAAACTGATTTCCAAATTTGAATTTTATTTATTTTTTATTTTACATGAATTTAGTGAATTTCATATTTAATACAGGGTTCATAGCCACATTTTAGTTAAAAAAATAAGTACTTTTCAAGCACATTTTAAGAAAAAAAATAAGCACCTGTCTAATTACATTATACACAACTGCATAACCTTAAAAATTAGACTTGTAATTTAAAATATGAGAAATGGAGTATTTATTAAGAGAGAATAAGCATTACCTCAACCATGGAAAATAATTACTTTTTTTTTAATTTTAATTAACAGTTCAATTTACAGAACTAGAGAGAAAAAAAAAACTATGCAGAACTAAACTATATTACAAGATTTAATGATGAAATTTCAGTTAAAAATATAGAAAAAATTAATAATAAGGCATATTTATTGTATTCACTTGGAACCTAATAATAAATACAATTTATTTTTCCACTCATATTGATATTTAAATAATTTAAATCTAAATTCTGAACATTTTCTAAATTTTCATTGTATATCAGTTTTCCCTTAACAGATATTGCAAGCAATGTAATTTAAGTAAAAAAGAGGAACATTTCTGAAATCAGAAGACAGAAATTTGCTTCATGCAGTCATCCTTTAACAGTAAAAGCTTAACTAACCCGCATACTTGGAAATTGGCGAATATTCGGACAGTCAAGCGTAACTTGAAAAAGAGGAGCGGAGGGGAGGGGCAGACTGTAGCCGCTCTTTAGATTTTTCCACTAAATAAATGCTTTTGACATTTCGATATGTGCATCATATAAAAATAAACCAATGCATCTGAAAAATATTCTGCTTAGCAAGCACAGTAAAACTCTTTTAAGTGTTCATAAACAAATCTCAGACAGAACATCAAAATTAATTATCTCTGCAAAATATCGCAAACGTTATTGCACAATATGTGCACCGTAATTCTACCCTATGTGATATTATGCAATCGGAATCAACAGCTGCCGGTATTGGGAGAATAAAGAAGTAAATAACTGGGGTGTTTTTCATTCTAATTTTCAACAGACGGCGTTAAATTTCCGGAATAGAATCATTCTTCGTTTGTGTTGGTAGACCGCAGAACGTTTAGTCCTATTCAATCCAGATTGGAAAGTGACAAAAAAAAAAAAAAGTCCATCACTTGTTTTGCAGCGAACTGCAATGGTTTCAATATTCGAGATTTTACGGAGAAATGGGCGAACCTCCCAATCTTCGTATCGTATAATGTATTGGCCAAAAAAATGAAATTATTTTGACTATTCGATTACTTTCCCTTTATTTAAGCCATTCTGAATATTATTCCTTAGAAAAGCTAATCTGTGTTAAAACACAACCATTTTTGGAAGTTTTTACTATTATACTTCAGCAGTTACTGCAACTATGTTATTATAAACATTCATACATATGCTCATAATATAAGCATAACGATCATAATAAACACGAATATGAACTGACCAAGCGGAACGAGAATGCAAATTATTAAGATCTTGATAGAAATTCAAGCGTGTGTAATATTTGGGTGGGAGGAAAAGAATGCCAAATGCAACGTAATTCTACTGCTTTCGCAATTCTTTGACCAATAGAACGACGGGCACCTGTCTGTACTCTTCGTTGCACACCAAAGGTTATGTTAATGCAGAGAAAGGGGGAAAAGCTATTTCCGGGAGTATAATTCACCATTTGACATTCTATATTAAGAAGAAAAGTTGTTTATTTAGTTTCGGCTTTGGTACCGAGAAAAATAGCACGTTCATTAAAAAAAAGCACTAAAAGCAAAAAATAAGCACTAAAAACAAAACAAAAATAAACAAACAAACAAAAAAAAAGAGCTTTAAAGAAAAAGTAAGCACCTATAAGGGCCTTTACATTTTATTTTCAAATATAAGGACTTATAAGCACTTATAAGGACCGCTACGAACCCTGTAATAAAACTCGTGGAATTAGTGCATATCTTATTTCTGCTCACACACTGTTGTAATAATGCATGAGTACAAGAAATTAAAATTTGAAAACTACATGGAATAAAAATGAACCTCGTTCCCTCCCCCCCCAAAAAAACAACTAATGTAGGGTAAGCTAGTGTTACAAAAACTACTCTGAACCTGAAACTTATCTACCTCAAACTGTAAAATATAAAATCAATCAAATACTAATACAACTATTGTGCAATACTTTCAATATAACACAACATAAGTACTTTTGTACCTTGTATAAAAATGAATTTTTAAAATGTTTGCCTCGCACTACCTTATACAAAAATGCATATATTTATAGAAACAAAATTTAAAAAAAAGCAAAATTAATAATCTTAAACTAAAAAACTTACAGAATGTCCATGGACAATAGATATGTTTTCTCTGACAAGAATATATCTTATCAAAGGAAATGTAGTAAACAGAGTAGGGAAAGTGCATTGGTTATATACAACCCATACTGGTATGTAGTATACCTAAAAGAAATATGTTTTCAAAATATTAAAATAGTATTTTGGTTAATATTTAAAATATATATATATATTCAAATTGTGAACAATATTAACAGATAAATATTATTTAATATGTCCTCAATATTCTCTCAGACTTAAAAAAAAAAAAAAAAAAAAAAAAAAAAAAAAAAAAAAAAAAAAAAAAAAAAAAAAACTCACGTAAATGCTTGAAATATTAAGTTATATATATCAAGAGATTGATAGATAAAATAGTAAGAAATTTAGAACTAAAACCACAAAGACATTAATGAAATTTAAAACCAGTAAAAAGTTAGTTTCCCCATATAAAATGTAAAATACCCCATCAACTCAGTGTTTAAAAACAAGAAGAAATCCCCAAAACAAGACATAAAAATACCTATAAAAGGAATACAATTAAAATCTAATTCAATGTTGTCAAGTGGAGGTAGATCAGGTTTAATTGAATCCCTTCACCTAGGAAAACCACTTTGTTTCTCTTCATCCAAAATCAGCTGATGAACAATTTTAAAATATTTAATTATGATAGGTCCTGAATGTCTCTTCTGCAGAGTCGCTTTCGTTTCAATTAATTTAAATGAAATAAATTCAATGCCTAATAAAGCAAAAGTAAAATAAATACTATTTATTAATATTAAAACTCAAATTACAATGTAATAATTTACAAATATATTTATAATTAACTGAGAACAAAAATTTTTACTCTATTAACAAAAGTTTGAACTTACTATGGGAAGAACATAGGAACAAAGACAGTAATTCAAATGGAAAGTGTGGCGCCTAATGGTTGCCTGTTTCGTACTATTGGTGGTACAATTTTTTTAAAATTTACTATAAAATTTGAATACACTTTTATTGCAGTTTATATAGTAATAATTTTCAAGTTTCATAAATGGAAATAAAATCAATATTATATTGAAAGTTAAATGTCAATATATATATATATATAAGAAAATAAAGAATATGTAAAAGATTAAATTAGCAGCAAAAATGAATTCCCTTCAGTGTACTATAAATAGTAACCTCTATTTGCACCGTGTAATTTCGAGAAAAATCTATTCATATGACTCTTACATAGATGATACAAATGGAACTGAAACCCAAAATTTAACCAATCACATATTATCTGTATTTCATGCACCTATCTTGTATAAATAGCTGATAACTGTGTATTCTTTCTCTCTTTTGCTTCATCACCTGCATGTTGCTTGTTGCTTAGATTTCACCCTGAACATAAAACACTTTCAATGTTTTGGCTTAGCTGGACTGCTGTTTGTCTGCTTCTTCTATCTTTCTGCAAATTTAACTAAAATGTAAGCTTTTTGGAATAGGCACATTTAATGTGCCAACTTGTTTGTAGCAGCAATATGTTTACTAAAATAAAAGATGAATTAAATATACCTTGACTGCTAAATTTCTTACTTATTGTGGATCGACATTTCACCATATTACAACATCAAAGTTCTATCTGTTCATTACAGATACAACTGCCTGCGTTCTACTACAGAATCTATTACATATATATAAATTTGTGCTTAGCCTTTCTTTAAAATAAAAAATAAATAAATAACTGAATAATACTGTAATAAACATTGAAGCACTCCAATATTTTAAAACAGATGAAATGAAATTTCATTAAGTGTACCTACATTTTAACAAATGAAACGATATATATTACAAAGTCCAAAATTCAGACATCCAATATGTAGAATGATCTAAAATCTGGATCTCTGGATCACTATTAACTTTTTAAAAAAAATATTTTCATGTGCTTTAAGTTTTCAGATTTGATACTTATTCATTACAAAACATGTGGAGAATCTCAATTCTTAATTTCACTTCAGTACTAAATACAGTACCTCAATACTGAAAAAATATGCCTTTTTGCTTGGCATACATTTCACATCTAAACATCATTGATTTTACACCTACTGAATAATTTATATCCCTGACAACAACCTGGCGAATCATCATTTATTATTTTTTGCTTCAGCATTGCATGTCTACCAACACAAGGTAGCTTGTGAAATGACTCATACAGCGATGTCTAAACATTTTCTTAAAATTATTAGTAACTGAATACTATAGAGCCTGGCTATCTTTTACAGTGATAATATGCTTGGTTATGATTACAAACTTCAGCTAACTCCACTTTGAAGTGTTGAGTGTGTTGACAAGGAGAAATGTAACAGAAATTTCTTTCCATATGAAAAAAAAAAAAAAAAAAAAAAGATTTTATAAATGATACTCATAGGCAAAAAAGATTACATTCAGTGCAGTTTGAATTCAGATTCAGTGCCGTTTGAATTGGGATGAACTGATTTGTTATTCAGAAAAGCCGACGGCTGGCACAGAGCTGGTATGGCTGCACTGGATGACAGAATTTAGGATAGGCAAAATGTTCAGAATTTAGAGAAGCACTGAGCAACAAAGTTAGGAGATGACAAAATCTTCAGAATTTGGAAAAGTTACTGGGATGCAAAATTTAGGGGGGGGGGAATTTTTAGAATTTAGAAATGCCCACAGAGACTGTACTGGGATTCAAAATATCTTGTGCTGGCTCTCCATAAGACAGCCTATCTAGCATCGACATTTAAATATATGTGGGAATTTATTTATTTGGGATTCAGATAAGCATGTGTAGAAAATAAGCATTAAGTATAATAAATGACAAAACTAATACAGTCAAAAGTCGTTAATCCGGACTCGTCGGGACTTCGGCGATTCCGGATTATCGATTTTTCCGGATTATAGATCATCAGTTTAAATCTGGTAAAATGGCATGCAGAAATTATAAAATTAAAAATATGAAACCGTAATTTACGAAATAAAGAACAATTATGATCTAAAGGGTATCAAAATAAATAAAAAAAAAAAAAAAAAAGCAGCTTAATATTTATTTGTTTACTTTATTAAACATTTCTTTCAATGTAAGTTGTTTAAGTTGCTTCGTTTTTTATGTGATAATACATTCTCTTTAATTCTATAAAACAGACATAATTTCTTGTTCAGTTACAAAGTTCCATTGTTCAAGTCCTATAATTGCTGTGTCTACTGACTAATTTGTGAATCGAAATTTTTTCCGTTTTCAATAACCTCTGTCACTTTCTTCGCTATCGGAAGCGAATTATAATGACGAGGAATTTGATTTAAATCATATGAAAGACGGAGTACATCGAGATGAAATACTACATTTAATAAGGAATTATAAGCCAAATAAAATAAAAACATCTGCCCTGAAGATAAGGATAGTGCTGACAGATCAACTTCCAATTCATTGCACACCCGGGGCATTAAAGATAAACAAAGTTTAGATAAATAAACGTTAAAGTTTAGATATAAATAAAGGATATGCCTTTATCCATTTTTTGCAGCAATTCCACTTTTTGTTTAATGAACTTCGAAACATACTTTCGCTTTGTAGATCCTTTACATATTAATAATATATATTAGAAATTCTATTTGACATAATCGAAAGTTCAAGCTTACTTTTATAAAATTGCTCTAATAGTCTGCAAAAAATAATAAGCCGGATCCAATTTGAAGATTAAGGAACAACGCAATGTGCAACATTAACTGAAATAGATAATTAGATAATTTTAGCTTAGCTTATACTGTCCATTGTACATTAAACGCGCACTCGTAAACGTATTTTGCGCACGCGCGAATTCGCAGCGGTAAAGGTCTTACGCGCATGCGTCAACGCGATGCATGCGCAGAAAGTTTGTAGCTTTGAGGTCCGAATTATAGATCATTCCGGATTATGGGTGTCCGAATTAATGACTTTTGACTGTACAATTCAGACTTAACTTCATCACCATGCCAAAGAAGCAAGACATAATTTAGCAGAACAACACATTAGTTGCCAATCTCATGATATACTGCCAATAGTGTATAACAGAGACTGCTAAGTTTTATGATGACAGCCACAAATTTCAAGGATTTCAGACCTCACAAACAAAACAGAAAATATTCCAATTAATGTAATTTGTAAACTGATAAACAGAAGGTTTTCATTGCAATGACATTACCGCACATCAATCAAGTAAAGGATAGCAAAATCTGTAGTATGGTTCTACATCCCATAAATATCAATACCGATGGTAAAGATGGCAACACAGAGATTGCTGAGAATGAAAAAATTTTGATTGACAGTTCAGTAGAAATTCTCGGCATGGCAATTACAGAATTATTGGCAAACGTTATCAACATGTGAAATGAAAACATACTTTAGCAGTTTAAAATAAAAAATTTAATTTTTAAATAAGGAATATATAATGTGTAAAAAAGAAAATAAAATGCTTAAATTCTTTTCCAAATTTTTCTGTAATTTTTTTTTTTTTTCTTTTTTTTTTTTTTTCCAGTATGCTCCTTAAGAACACACTGATCTGTTTTTGCTTTAAAAAACATCAGAAATTTATAGAGACTGAATAACATGTAAATCTTGGTAACACTGGCTATCTACCAAATATATCACCTCATTGTTCTTTTTAGAGATTTTGGTGCTTAATTCTGTATTCTTGTAGAAATTTTACTGCAGTTTCTTCCACTGCAAGCAAATTTCACAAGCACATGTTTTAAAATTAAGTTTGAGGCAAAAAAATCATGATTTGTTTATGAAGACCATTAGAAGTTGGAAAAAGAATATAAAGGAAAATGATAGCATTGCTTCAATGAATGATTGTTATAAGTATGGCTACCTGAAGAATGGTTGTCAGAGTTTTGCACATTCTGGAATTTTGGTAACTTTTACTAAGGAAACAAACAGTACTTATGTGTTAACAACATACATGTAAGTTAACAACTTTCAATTTTAATTTTTATTCTGTATGCATATTTTGTCATAAAAATAACATATTTTACAAGTCTGTAATCATTTTATGACAAAATCCATCCAAATTTGAATACTGGAAACAACTTTATTTTTTGCCAGGATAACTATTCTAAGTACACGGCCCTCAATGTTCGCCTTTGGTGTGTCTATA